ACATGATAGACATTTTTACACAGGACAATAATACTAGTTCACACAATATAAAAGTTAGCATCACGGGAACCTTATAATTTTACCATGAACCAAATTTATGTAATTTAAATAATACTTGTCCATGCCTGTACAATTGGTGTGTCCTACACAGGTAGGAAAAAATGTATTTTATTAAATTACTATTATTAAATATGTTTACTAATCGTATATGTAATTTATAATATTGATGATGCCTGTAAACTGGCGTCCCCCATGCACAAAATGAGAATATACTATCATTATTATTGTCTGTCACCACCAACTGAAACAGAGAATATCTGATTAAGATTTGTCAACCGTTTCACGTATAACCTACTCGTCCTTATTGGTATTGTATATTGAATCAATACACTCCACCTCTCCATATTTCCGATATAACTGAACCTGTGATTCCAGGGCGAAGTAAATCCTGCTTGTTATCCCTGTATTCGAATCCACGTATTCAACCACCTAACCGCTTTGCCTTATTATGCGCATGACATCTGATCTCAAAGGCATGGCTTCAAAAATAACTTTAAACTACTTCAATTACCTGGTCTCACATCCTTACGTAAATTATATACATCTGTGCTCGTCAAAATTTTATTAAAATTCTCTTCAGCATATTCCAAAACATCAGCAACCTCAGATGTAGTCTTCACAACTGGTGCAATATTCTCCTTTTCATCCCCGGACAGGCGTCTAAAATATGGATCACCTATCATAAGACTTTTTTCACATCTGTGATTGTGAACTGTTTTCGCGGAAGAAATGATAAACTCGTCCTCCTAGTAGTGTATACAAAAGCCAGATTGGCGACCGGTGTATTTTGCACTGCAGAAATAAATAATAGAACTCTTACGGTTTGACGCGTAAACCTGAACCTCTAGTTTTTCGCTTCATGCTATATGTACATCGAAAGACTACTAATTTGTACTTCAAATCCTGAGATTCATGGTCCCGTATGCACTTTTTGATTACATAATGTGTATGAGTTGCCAAGGGATACTCTGTCATACATATATACATATATTACTGATTCCAGCCGACTTAGAGCATCTTCTACTTGAACCCAACTGGTACACCGGTGACTAAACATAATTCCGTCAAAAGATTTTTTGATATCCACTGATATAGGAAGGGCAGGTTGATCGCCATTGTCTCCAAGTGCCAATGCGTCCATTCGGTACCACTGTAAATGAAAACAGAAGCTTTTCAATAAAAAAATCATGAATAGCCAACAGAGTACAGTAAGCAACTTAAAAGAGACATTGACTTGGAAACTATAGCGGAAAAAAATATAAATTCCTTACCACAGTTACCGTTTCTGAAAGTTCCTGATTATATCCATAAACATTTACTGGAACACTCGTGAACGACAAATATGGACACAAGTGATGAAACGAAGCTCTACAGAAATCATTGAAACGCCACAAACAGGAGGATTTTAGGTGCACCCTATAATTTTCACATGAAACACATTCTCAAGCATCCTCCCGCACGATAACTGCCTTCAGGCCTAGAGGCAGCTTTTGATGACTATTCTCAACAAAATCAACACAGTTCAAGCCAAACAGAAACCAGAATCACGTCAAATGCAGCTACCTAGATCAAACGAAACAAATCAGCCGAACTGAAATCAACTAGACCGCGCAAATGTCCTCAAAGTAAAGCTGGAGGCGCCACGGCTGAAATTATTCCGCATGCTCAAGGTCATTGATGGAGTGAGACGCTCAAAGGTCATTTTCGTCCATGTTAGTCGGTTATGTTGGATTGCAGTTCCATAGCCGTTCGTTTACACATTGGCTTTATGTCCTTTTGGCATTTATAGGTGATTCCTATGTACTGATAGCATTCTTTTGTAAAATAGTACTGTTCTTCACACGAAAATAGCCACATTTTGACGTAGTCTTCATTGAATGACACTATGTCGAAAGCTGCAGCTTCTACAAGAAATAAACTATTTGTGTAGATGACATTACCCCCCAACTACCCCATCTTCTTCATTGTAGAGATGTATTGACGCATTCAGCATGAAACACTAATCATTACAACCAATACGCTAAGTGTGTCGCAGTCAGATTAAATGACGCAGACACCAACATAACTAGCCAGGAAATGAGAATTCCTATCAATCCAGAAAATATACAACAAAATTTTATTAAAAACTATTGACAAAACAAATTTGTCGAGCGAAATTTCAACCAACATGCCGGATAAGTCCAGTCGGCGCCACTTCAAACAGGGGATATGCCTTATCAACGCCCGTTCCTGGCGTCAAACTCAACCTTCCTTAGTTACCAAGATTGCTACCGGCTTAGCGAGTGCATCAACCGGGATCTGAGCCACAGACCACGCAAATAGTTGGCCAGCTTTCTCCCACTGAATCACCGACGAATCATTTTGCGCTAGGCACACCTTGAATTTCGTTAATATGTTGGCCATCCACCCTACCGTAAGTATTTGCAGCTCTATTCAAAAGCTTTCCACCTTCCTGAATAAAATGAGTGATAGATAGGCCCCAAAATATTCGTACTCAACAAAGTAGACCACTGGCGTCCCCGTTTGCCCATAATGGAAGATGTTTCCGTCCTTTACAAGTAGTGTGCAGCTTCTGAATGGACCACTGTTCTATGAAAGTCTCATCCTTAAAACCACTTACATTCCTATTCTTATTATAACTTAAGCGTTTTACTTGAACTGTAACTTCAATGAACTTAACAAACTGATGGTACTTAAAAACACCAATATTGTTAATGATGATCATTCTTGAATATTCTGTGTAAATAAATATATATAATTGTAGAACTAGAAAAGGAAATTATAGAAAAGCATATTATTCGCTCAATTTTTCCGTAAATGTCTGGATTAATATTTTCACTACACACCTGTATTCGTTGGAAAAGTTCCAGACCTCTTTCACTGAATAAGCTTTACTTTTTATTTGGCTCAAATATAGTGCCCACATGTCCCTAGACCTGGCGTTCTCAGACCTAGTACCACCTTTATCGAAGTAGTGCTCTATTTGAGCAAACCGAAGTTCCGAATCATGTCGATCAAATCCAGATAGCCTGATTAAGGAGCCTACACCCACAAAAATCGTTTTTGAAGTCATATCCAATGGTGGGTAAATGAGACACTTTAACGAGTAAAGGTGAAACTAAAAAGTACATGGGAATAAAACGATCTAAAGAAAGACAACCACAAAATATACGAATTGCAGCTAAGCATGATGAATTATGTGCCTACAGGTTTAGCGACTGACTCGTATTTTAGAATAACTACCCAAATGACCTAATGATAGCGCGCACCGGACAGCGGTGCAGTTTGAACGTTTATTTGAAAAGTGCCCTAGAGGGTGGTCGAAGCACTTTTCAAAGTATAAAAATTCTTCCTTCTGAATATTGTAGGGGGCTTCTGAAGCAGGTGCGTGAACACTTGTTCGTCGCTCAGAGCCAGGTGAAATCCCACCTCACTGACGCAGTGTTGGGTGACCTGACCGCAGCAGTGCCTGAAATAGTTTCCCTCCGAACTCACTCAGATCTTGCCCCCTGTTCCAGCACTTGATTCTCCTTCCCGTTGAACAAACTGGACATCTAATCCCAGAATAAGTGCACCAGTCACCGTCCCAGTATACAGCCCAGGGGCAGTCAAACGGAATATTTCAGGAAGTTATTCTCAAGTAAGCAATGTAACCATCGTACCGGCTTTGCGAACGATAAATCGACAGCACTGTTACTCCTGACATCAGGACATTTGCGGCATTAGGTTACAACTTCGATATATAGAAATCACTATTGACAAATGTGTCACTCATGTTACCGGTTTAGACATATCTGTCCACTGTGTATAAAGTCTAACCTAGCGAAACCTTCAAAGCAAATCTGTACTAGAGGGATACAGGGTTTTGTTCTATTGGTGTAGAATGGCTGATTTTTAGAGACTTAATTTTGATAACAAACTAATTTTGTAGCCATTTTCTATTATGCAGTGCATGGCTGACAAAATATGAAGCGACTGATGGCAGTGATAAAGTGGCAAAGAATTTGGTGAACGGTAGCGCTATTTTGTAATCAACATAAACCACTTACGTGTAGACTTGTAGGTGATCACAGAAGTCTGTTGATTCGATTGAACCCCAGGTATTTCGCCTTCAACCCTGAATTTATCTCTGCTGATTTAATTCCATCGTAAACAGCTGACTTTTAAGGGACAAGACAGTGGTTACTTCTTTCACATGTGGTTGTGTAACCCTATATTATGTTCATAATATCGCTAATAAATACACTATTGAACAGCCCTAAGTATTATATTTTCCCTCTCCTAGTTGCGGGGTGTTGAAAGCGGTCTGACTACCAGGTTAGGCAGGTCAACCTAAACAGCCAGCGGGCAGTGCGGCCAAAGCACAGCTGTCACAGGACAAATGGCTACATGACAATTGTTATGTATAATTGTAGCCGACTACAAACGAGTTCGAAGTCGTTCAAGCAGCGTTAATAACTGCCTGCTTAGGACAGGCCCTCCAACACACATGGATTGATATGCAAAAGGCGAGATAATATAACAGGAGCGCCTGTCCGTGCTTGACTGCTCGAAGCTGACTAGCTGTCTCGGGACTACACGAACGTTCATATTCCCATGACAACATTCTAGCACTAAGAAGCATGTTGTATGATACCAACTGGGAACTATTTACTGACGATAAGTTGGATGCTACTGTCTCTAATACAACCGATTATCTGAAGTTTTGTTTGGATATTTGCTGTCCATATAAAACACTGTTTTCGAGATTTGACAGTATCTCTTTTTTGCAGCTAAAAAATCTTAGAAGACAAAACGAGAAGTTGTATAAGAATTGTGATAATACTGGTGTCCGTAAAACAAACCCTCTTATAAAAATTGAAATAGAAAGATTGAACAGACTATATAAAGAAAAATTTTTATCATGTAAAAATCCTTCAAACTTTTGGAAACAGTATTGAGAGTCATCGATCGGTAATTTGAGTAATTATTTCTATAGATAATTTAGTTTCGAAATTGAAGAGTACATGTCCTCCACACTTCGCCTCATAATTCGCCATAAAAGACTACTGTCGTTCAAAACGAGTTTTTCCCAAGAGGGTGCAAGAACACTATCCTGCAGGGTTACGAAAAGGTGGTATGGGAGCATTAAGAAGCGCGATCATTGAACATCGGGTCGATAATGATCACCCAATCTCTATACCCTCCCCTTTCAAAGTCATCTACAAGGCAAAGAGTAATCTCCCCAAATCCTTACGTACCCGACTCATCTGTATTGTTAAAGCTTTGGCTTTCAAAACAAAAAACCCAGATCTCTGTTAACAGAAGAATTTCGTTAAACCTCTCCAACTTTCATGGTCTTAATCCCTCTATGCTAAAGTATGGTAATCCCCAATCATACTTTAGCTCTACCAACTCTCCATTTTTTCATTTTTGTCTATTCAATTTGTATACTCTTCCTTATTAAGTCAATTGTTACTATTACTACTCTCACTTTCAATTGTCCCCGGTATTATTTCACTTGTTCCACTTGTCATTCTAAATCAATTCCTTTATGCAACATTAAATTCTATGCTATTAAATTTCACACAATATTACGTAACGTTTTTACTTTTTCGATTTGTCTACTAATCTTATAATTGCACACCTTTTTCAAGTTCTATCCATCCTATGAATTATTCTATATATGACATTAATTTGCTTTGCCACTTGACCTTTAACTACGATTATAATCACAAACATTTTAGTTTTAATTGCACTTCATATTATTATTATTTCATGCATTCACACCTATGTTTCAATTCCCTCACCGGATATAACTTCTTAAAAACCATATATATACGATTGTACAGCTTGATGATAAATTCGTTGAAAAGAGTCTCTTCACTGAATCATTTGTTTTGATTTTCTATATGTTACAATGGGAATTTTCCATGATTTAAAAAATAGCAAAGATCCCTCGACAGTAAAGGAACTCAATGGGTTTCTGCGTTATTCTGTCAAACTTGCCGTGGTGAATGCGGAGATTTGTTTTCTTAATGAATGCATCAATAATCATGAGTATCCGAAATGGCATTGGAAAGTTCTCCGACGCAATCACATATATCCTGATGCAAAATCTCTCAAGAGACACACATTAAATCACATTGACTCTATTAGTTCACGAATCCCTGAGTTAGAAAGGAATATATCGCAAAGATCTTCTGCTCTATATGACTTATCGATTGAAGAACGTCAAACGTTTAATGAATATGTCAACGTGGTCACCAACAAACAAACAATGTCTTTTAATTCTAAGCTATCTAATAGCCTAAAATCTATCGAATGTCTTCGAAAATTTCCTGAGAATTGTGAGAGATACGTGTTCAATCACTCTTCCATATCCCTATCAAAATTGCAAATGGAAGCCTTGTCAATGGGTTCGAAGTTTTGCGATGTTAATCTCAATGTCAACAAGCTAAATACACATGTCCAGTTTGAGAATCTACTCAGTCAAACTTATGATCTCACACCATCGTCAGAACAGGACTTCCAATGCTTCAAATCTACAATCACTGACTCTTGCAATCAATACCTTAATGCAAGATCAAAAATGCAAAGTCTTCCGACCAAACAGCACAAAGAAGAACTTAAACTTTTGACGCATAACAACGATATATTACTAACACGCCCTGACAAGGGTGCAGGTGTTGTTATTATGGATCGTAAGGATTATATCGACAAAATGTCAGGTCTACTTTCAGACAGCAGTAAATTCTCGAAACCGAACGAGAAAAATAAGACGGAATTAATTGAAAAAGAACTTACAGAAGCTTTAAAAAGAATGAAGAACAATCATCTCATTCGTGAAGAATTATACGAAAAGATCAGACCAACAGGATCTCTAATACCAAGACTCTACGGTCTACCGAAAATACACAAAGCTGGCCTTCCACTCCGCCCTATCTTGGATATGTCTGGATCGCCCTATCATCCAGTAGCTGGATGGCTAGCTGAAATCCTTGAACCTGTCAGGGAACAGCTATCTAATCATTCTCTCCGGGACACCTTCCAATTTGTTGAATGTATACAGGATATAAATGCGTCGAATAAACATATGTTGTCTTTGGACGTAGAATCCCTATTTACGAACGTTCCACTAACAGAGACCATATGTTTTATATGCAAATATATAGAAGACAACAAATTGAATATAGGTATACCCACTACAGATCTGAAAGAACTACTTCTGAGATGTACATTGAATGTACAGTTTACTTTTAATGAAGCAATCTACAGACAGAAGGATGGTATTGCAATGGGTTCTCCCTTGGGTCCTCTCCTTGCAGACTGTTTTATGTCCAGTCTAGAAAATGATCAGCTGAAGCCTATAATCCAAAGTTTTCAAATGTATAAAAGGTATGTAGATGACACCTTTATTATTTGTAATAGTGATTGTAACTTAAATAATATATTAGATGTATTTAATGGTTGCCATCCGGCGATAAAATTCACACTCGAAATGGAGAACGAGTCTAGCATGCATTTCCTCGATGTGAACTTATCAAGAAGGACCGATGGAACCCTGAAAAGATCGATTTATCGCAAGCTGTCATGGAATGGTCAACTGACAAACTTCTACAGTTGGGTACCCATTGGTCGAAAAAGAAACCTGATCCGGTCGCTTGCCACTCGTATTCGGCGCATATGTAGCCCTGATACTGTGGAAGATGAGTTATACATCTTGAGGAAAATCCTAATAGAAAATGAATTTCCACCACGTTTTATAGATAAGAATATTCATTCAAATCCTAAAAAACGTGAGTTATCAACCGTACCCAAGAAGACACTTTACATGAGCTTGGAATTCAAAGGGGACTTAGCTTCCGATATCATGAAACGGAGGATATCACAATCCCTGAAAAGAACATTCCCTGCTGCATCCCTGAGAATAGCCTTTTCTAGTCGACCATTATTGTTCAATAACCTGAAGGACAAGATCCCGCTGTTGACCAACTCTATGTGTGTTTATCAATTCACCTGCTCTTGTGGAGCTAGGTATATCGGTCGTTCGACACGAGTTTTGTCCAAGAGGGTGCAAGAACACTATCCTGCATGGTTACGAAAAGGTGGTAGTGGAGCAATGAGAAGCGCGATCATTGAACATCTGGTCGATAATGATCACCCTATCTCTATAGCCTCCGCCTTCAAAGTCATCTACAAGGCAAAGAGTAATCTACCCAAATCCCTACGTACCCGACTCATCTGTACTGCTGAAGCTTTGGCTATCGAAACAGAAAAGCCAGATCTCTGTGTACAGAAGAAGTTCGTTCAACCCCTCCAACTTTCATGGTCTTAATCCCTCTATGCTAAAGTATGGTAATCCCCAATCATACTTTAGCTCTACCAACTCTCCATTTTTTCATTTTTGTCTATTCAATTTGTATACTCTTCCTTATTAAGTCAATTGTTACTATTACTACTCTCACTTTCAATTGTCCCCGGTATTATTTCACTTGTTCCACTTGTCATTCTAAATCAATTCCTTTATGCAACATTAAATTCTATGCTATTAAATTTCACACAATATTACGTAACGTTTTTACTTTTTCGATTTGTCTACTAATCTTATAATTGCACACCTTTTTCAAGTTCTATCCATCCTATGAATTATTCTATATATGACATTAATTTGCTTTGCCACTTGACCTTTAACTACGATTATAATCACAAACATTTTAGTTTTAATTGCACTTCATATTATTATTATTTCATGCATTCACACCTATGTTTCAATTCCCTCACCGGATATAACTTCTTAAAAACCATATATATACGATTGTACAGCTTGATGATAAATTCGTTGAAAAGAGTCTCTTCACTGAATCATTTGTTTTGATTTTCTATATGTTACAATGGGAATTTTCCATGATTTAAAAAATAGCAAAGATCCCTCGACAGTAAAGGAACTCAATGGGTTTCTGCGTTATTCTGTCAAACTTGCCGTGGTGAATGCGGAGATTTGTTTTCTTAATGAATGCATCAATAATCATGAGTATCCGAAATGGCATTGGAAAGTTCTCCGACGCAATCACATATATCCTGATGCAAAATCTCTCAAGAGACACACATTAAATCACATTGACTCTATTAGTTCACGAATCCCTGAGTTAGAAAGGAATATATCGCAAAGATCTTCTGCTCTATATGACTTATCGATTGAAGAACGTCAAACGTTTAATGAATATGTCAACGTGGTCACCAACAAACAAACAATGTCTTTTAATTCTAAGCTATCTAATAGCCTAAAATCTATCGAATGTCTTCGAAAATTTCCTGAGAATTGTGAGAGATACGTGTTCAATCACTCTTCCATATCCCTATCAAAATTGCAAATGGAAGCCTTGTCAATGGGTTCGAAGTTTTGCGATGTTAATCTCAATGTCAACAAGCTAAATACACATGTCCAGTTTGAGAATCTACTCAGTCAAACTTATGATCTCACACCATCGTCAGAACAGGACTTCCAATGCTTCAAATCTACAATCACTGACTCTTGCAATCAATACCTTAATGCAAGATCAAAAATGCAAAGTCTTCTGACCAAACAGCACAAAGAAGAACTTAAACTTTTGACGCATAACAACGATATATTACTAACACGCCCTGACAAGGGTGCAGGTGTTGTTATTATGGATCGTAAGGATTATATCGACAAAATGTCAGGTCTACTTTCAGACAGCAGTAAATTCTCGAAACCGAACGAGAAAAATAAGACGGAATTAATTGAAAAAGAACTTACAGAAGCTTTAAAAAGAATGAAGAACAATCATCTCATTCGTGAAGAATTATACGAAAAGATCAGACCAACAGGATCTCTAATACCAAGACTCTACGGTCTACCGAAAATACACAAAGCTGGCCTTCCACTCCGCCCTATCTTGGATATGTCTGGATCGCCCTATCATCCAGTAGCTGGATGGCTAGCTGAAATC